GCGTGCCGTACATTCCTCCCCATACAGTATAATACCAATCTGGGCTCCCAATCGGCTGTCTTAACCTGAACGCCTTCCTCAGCAAGACAATCCATCTTTTGAAGTTCTGCTTCAAATTCTGGCATCTTTTTGGCGTAGCCATGAGAGCCGAGATGATGAGGATCCATCACTTTCTGCGAGTTCTCCTTATTCTTCTTGCTCAGTGCAAAGTACTCCTCAGATAACCTGTATTCCTTGAAATCCTGCTAGAAGTCTTTCTGCTTGCTAAACTGTCCACCATCAAAATCTAGATCTTTATTTTGGAGGACAAAATTCTTGTACAATGTCCCCTTGAAATTCTTGAAGCATGTCCCTATGATTTCTTTTGCTTTTTTCTTGACTAACTCCCTGTCATACTCGGTTGGGAAAGTGAACTACTCTAAGATCTTGACATCCCATATGTAATCCTTCTCACTTTCGAGAACCCTCCATAGGTCATCATCTTTCCCAATCCACTTCCTGTACCTAATCGAGATAAAGTCCCTAACAAGTAACCCGAGGATAGTCTTGTATTTGGTCCTATACCCAATCCACTTCCCTATGTTTGATTGATCAGTACCATTGTCGAAGTAAATGTGCAATTCTAAGAATTATTTGCAGTTAATTATTGTCCATGTGCTATTGCTAGTTCATTTTGCAAGCTCGTGTGTGCAATTGTTGATCGCCGTGGACGTGCATGCTCCTGTTGTTTGGTTGCGGCACCAGGTGACTTGTGTTTGGCTTGCGTATATGCATGTCAGGTTGTCAGGATGGGGAGGAAAAATGTAGTCATGTCAAGTCTGAATTGTTATCTTACAGGCGCTGGGACTTCTGTATCGCGCCGTACGGGAATCGCAAGGAGACGGAAGGGAACCGTACAGGCGCTGGGGCTGGGGTGATTTGCAAAATCTTGGATTAGATGGGATGAGTGGGGGGTTTAAGTGCTAAAATAACCCACCTTTACCTCTAACCATCGGATTAGAGTCCAGTGATCTAGATTAGAGTTTGCATAGTTTGCACAGCTCCTTGGTTTTCATAGCATTCGCGTCCAGTGATCTAGATTAGAGTTTGCATAGTTTGCACAGCTCCTTGGTTTTCATAGCATTCTGCTGCCTATATATATATATATATATATATATATATATATATATATATAACAGCCTTAGCTTAAGTACAGTACAGTTTTTTTACCTTGATGCTGCAGAGAAACAGTTGCGTGCAAGACGTTTCGTCCGTATGGTCCGGAGTAGGATAGCTTGCCTTTGCTCTTGCCGTAGAGGTGACGTGCAATCTCCACTCCACCCAGTGAGATGGCGAGGTACAATGGGGAAGCACCACCATCCTCCTCATATGGAAAGCAGGCCAGGTCTGGATCCATGTCCATGAGCAGGTCGACGCATGCCACCTTGTTCTTGGGAGCGCGGACCGCCTGGTGCAAGGCGGTCTCCCCACACGCTTATTCATCATTCTCACCACCAACGCCGGCTTCACAGACGCCGCCGCCGTTGCCTCATCGTCGGTGTTGGCGATGAGATCGACGAGGCAGGAGATCATGTTGGCGTTCCCGGCAGCGGCGGCGCAGTGCAAGGGCATGTGGCCCTCGTGGTTGCCCGCTTCCAGGAGCAGCTGGCGCATCGCGGCGACGATCATCCTGGCGCAGCAGAGGATCAAGTCGTCGCTGTCGCCGGACGCTGACGGTGGTGGTGCCGCAGCAGCTGGTGGAGGACGCCTAGCTAGGGACGACCTCCACGATGACCACCTCTGATGTCGCCGCCGCCTCCGGTGCATTTTCCTCAGCGTCGCCGTCGCCGTCGTTCACCACCAGCAGCAGCAGCTCCTTGAGCCGCTTGCTGTCACCGCGGCGACCAGCCACCAGCAGTAGTTTGTTGGCCGCCGCTGGTGGCCAGCTCGTACTATCACTTGCAGCCACATCAGCTTGGTCGGTTTCGTCATTAGCTGCTACCAAGGCCATACTCTACCTACTACCAGTGCCAATAACTGTTGCCGTGGGTAGTAGTAGTAGTAATGTTGCTGTTGCATGCCGGCCGGTGTGGCCTTGCTATTAAAAAAATTCAAATATACATATGGCACGTGGCTCTGCAGGTTCCAGATGCCGCCGGTGAGTATGCTGAGATACGTAACATTTTAGAGTATGTATGCATATACTAAAGTAGGTATGTGCGGGCTTACGCATAATAAAGTATGTATTCATACTTTATTTTCAAGTATGTATTCGTACATATTCATACTTTTTTTAAATAGAGTATATATGCATACTTTTTTCATGAAAGGAGTATATATTCATACTTTTTTATAAGGAGTATATATACATACTTTTTTTAATGAAAGGAATACATATTCATACTTTTTTATAAGCATCCCACCATAGCCCAGATCCGTTTTTCCGGTAATTATACACTACCGGAAACTGTCTAAGTTGCCGAGTGTCAGGTGCTTTGCCGAGTGTTCTTTTTCGGGCACTCGGCAAAAACGCATTTGCCGAGTGTTTTTTTTGACATTCGGTAAAGAGGCTCTTTGCCGAGTAACACTCGGCAAAGAGCCTCTTTGCCGAGTGTTTTTTTGACACTCGGCAAAGAGCTTCTTTGCTGGGTGTTTTTTTTTTGACACACGGCAAAGAGCTTCTTTGCCGAGAGTTTTTTTTTTTTTTGACACTCGGCAAAGAAAATTTCAAAGCACATTTTGAAGCAGTAAATTAATTCAAATGAAAAAATTTTCAACTACAAAGTTGTATAACTCATCAAGATGTACAATGTTTGTTTTGGTCTTTTCTTCATACGACAAAGTGAAAATAAATTTGTTCACAAATCTAACATATCTCTCTTATAGTTTATGAAACTACAAGAGAGATATATAAGATTTGTGAACAATGTTAGAACGACTATGTCGGATGAACAGATGACCAAACAACCAAAATAAACTTTGTAGATCTCGAAAAGTTATGAAACTTTGTAATTGGTAACTTTTTGATTTGAAAACATCTTGTCATGCAAAACCGCGTTTGAATTTCAAAATTTTAAAATTTGAACTTTTCAAACGACCTCGGATGAAAAAACAACCAAAATAAACTCTGTAGATCTCGAAAAGTTATGAAACATTGTAGTTGACAACTTTTTGATTTGAAAACATCTTGTCATGCAAAACTGTGTATGAATTTTAAAAATTTTAAAATTCAAATTTTGTAAATGACCTCGGATGGAAAAACTTCCTAAACTAAAAGTGTAGATCTCGAAAAGTTATGAAACTTTGTAGTTTACAACTTTTTGATTTGAAAACATCTTGTCATGCAAAACTATGTTTGAATTTCAAAATTTTAAAATTCAAATTTTGTAAATGACCTCGGATGGAAAAACTTTCTAAACTAAAAGTGTAGATCTCGAAAAGCTATGAAACTTTGTAGTTTACAACTTTTTTATTTGAATTCGTTTAGGGCCTAAAACATGCAATTTACACTCGATTTAGTATAATATATTGGGAACTAAAACGGAATCCAGACACAAGTAACAGTGTGGTGTAGTGGTAGAGGAGGTACGTGCACAGCGGGAGGTCTCGGGTTCGAATCGCGTCGGCCACGTAGCCATGAAATTCACGGGAAAAATATCGTAGATGGGTGGGCGCTGGCCGGTGGGGGCCTCCATCGATAAAAAAAATTTCCATTTTTTCGGGTTTTTTTCGGTTTCAACTTTGCCTAGTGTCGGGCACTCAGCAAAGGCTTTGCCGAGTGCCTGATAAAAAACACTCGGCAAAGTTGGCTTTGCCGTCACTTTTCTTGGCGAGTGCTGTTCGCCGAGTGTTACACTCGGCGAACCACTTGCCGAGTGTTTTATGTCTTTTGCCGAGTGTTTCGGGTACTCGGCAAACTCAAGGAGTCCGGTAGTGATATGGACACAGGCCTTTTTTAATTCGCGTATATACGTCCAGAACTCCAGATTAATACGGCTGCCGTATAGCCACCGCCACCGGTCCAAACGGGTCCGCGTTTCTCCGCGCGTTAACCAGCCTCGACTCCTGCTTGATGCATATACTCTCGGTGGGAGTAACTACTTTCGAAAGTACAGAAAACTCACCCTATATATATAGATAGATACAGAGAGAGTGAATCAAAGTCGATCGTCGTCCATGCATGGATACTGGATGCATGATGGCACAGTATATGTTCCTGGGCGGCCAGCACATGCACGGCAACAGAGAGAGAAATTAAAGCAAGTTTAAAGGTGCACGTGCGGAGAGAATAGACCCTGTCCGGATTTGGGTCTGCGATCTGCGATGCGAGTGAGCGCGACAGTTCCAGCCAGCTCTCTGATCCATCTCGCCAGTGTGATCGTGTCCTCCTAGCTAGCTCCTACCGACTAGTTTAACCCCTATTTTTATTAGCTGCTTTCAACACTCCAAACCCCAACCATATTTTTTTTTAAATCAGGTAAAGTATAATATTCTTTTCCTCAGGCAACAAGCAAAGATGGCATGCAAGGGAAAATTTTTAAAAGGACCGGGTACACCTATAATGTACCCATCACACATGCTATTACACTTTAAAACAAAGTTGAAAAACAGGGGAGGGAGGGGGGGCGGGGCAACAAGCAAGAAAAGGCTAAAACTCATTATATGTACAAATTAAAGCATGGCTGGATCAAACCATATATATACACTTCAAACGTGTAGATGGTAAACAAAGGCCAACACTTTGTTTACATAAGATAATTATGGATCAAACCATGCAGTGTGAGGCTAGAAAAAAATATGGGCCCCACGAACGAGGAATTGTCATCGGTGTTACTAGGCTGCAGTGTAGAACCTCACTTGTTTACTGTTTCGTGGGTCCCATCAGCCAATAAAAAACTAATTCACTTATTTACTGTTTCATGGGTCCCATCAACCAATAAAAAACTAATTCAAATACCCTATCACACGCTTCCGCTGCTCACCTTGCTTTATTTGGGCCTATTCCTTTTTGGCATTGGTTCTTACAGTTGCGCCGCTCCCAATAATTTGACACCAGCATCACTGACCTGCAGTGTTGGAAGTGATGCTCATATACTCTCTCACCTCTTCAAGCTTCACTCTAAGCCAACACTGCGAAAGGCCTAATAAGGCCCTACAAGTATAGGTACTGCTCATGATTTTTACTCAAATTTAAACACATGTCTCGTCATCTCGTGTCAAGTCTCAAATTAAATCCTGTTATTATGCCCCGGTTTGGAAATGGAGAGGATAAGGAAATCAATGCGCTTTGTGTATCTAAAACTAATGTAGTTGATGTGCCGGAAATCAAGGTCCTATTTGAATGTTGTAGTATCAAAACCATAATTCCATGCAAACACTTCGTGGTACTAAAAACCCGAAGTATTTCACAAAACCATGGCATATGTTTCTAAAACTCCAAAAATACTTTGTATCCCAACAGGCCCAAATTAAAGCCGCAGAGAACTTTTCGAAGCATCGAATTTTTTTTTCCAATAAAAAGATGATATTAACAATGAAATAAAAAGAGTTGTTGAGTAGCAATAATACCGGTTACAACATGATGTTGAGCAGCTAGCAGAATAAAACCCAAATGTAATAATGGAGCATTAGTTACATAGGTGGACAATTGTTTTGACATGATAATAATAATGCTAGCTAGCTAGCTCTCATCTTGACACATGCCCTATTATTTACTTACCCACTTCCGAATTGCTGGGAGACCAAGGATTATTATGTACGACCAAAAGTGTACCAAGACACTATCAAATATTTGTTGTACGTAAGCCCATACTGGAAATCGCCGTATCCCAATTCGAGCACGGACCGTGTTTGCCCCACAGGTGACCCGCCAAGCTTCCACGTTTCCCCAGAGCAAAGATGCAAAAATGATGACGCAGACAGTCACTGCAATTGTATGATCAACTGGAGCCAGCACCGGGTACAAGGCCAAGGCGAAAGCGGCCACGAAACTCCTTCCTGCACTCTGCAGCAACACGGCCGACTTGTTGAAGTAGTAGCAGCGGATGGAGATGGCCATGGCCGGCACCCCGGCATAGACAAGGCTAAAGGTAGCCAAGGTGGAGCAGATGAATGCCAAGGTGTCGGCAAGGATAAAGGCGTCGAAAACATAGCTCCCAGCAAGCACCGGCGTCCCAGCGTGATTATTGCTAGATGAGTCCCCGACGGATCGATAACAACCAGGCAACGTGAAAGCTGATGCAAATGTGACGGTCGCAATAATTACGGCGACAATGCTCATCACTTGCGTTGCATCTGTATGTTTCTGTGACTCTTTGTCCTCGTCTACTTTGGTGATGTGTTGTTCACAGAAGAGCTCCGGCCGACATAGCCCTCCACCATGAGGAGCTCCTGCAAAGAGCAATGAAAGCCGTACAACACTTCTTGGATTCTGCAAGAGTACGTGAGTATTATTGAATGAATATACCTTACTGTCACTAAATTAACTAGCAAACATGTTCAGTGTTGCAACAGTACGTGCAGCTTGTTGCGTGATCACAAGAATGATTTGTGGCTAAAAGATTTATTCAAGGATAGCGTCTTTTAATCTGTCTTGGAATCAAATTCCATTACTATGACTGTTCTAACTGGTACGGGTATGAGAGGGTTAGAGATTTATAAATAATAGTGTAATGCGTTCTAATGTGTTTTATGATCAGAATCCACACCATGCCTGAAAATTCTGCTCTAACTCATAAGGGCATGTGAGAGAGTGGCGGACACATGCGGCTATAACTTGTATGGATATAGTAAATGCTCCACACTTCAATTTGTTTTGGAATTGGACTCAATATCGTGTTTGGACACACTGCTCTAACTCATAATGACATAAGAGATACTAGGTCCGTCGGATCCCTGTTGGACGGTTGTGAGTGATCCTTTATTAATTACATCAGCTTTTACTATGTGCTTTGGAATTTATTTGATTTAAGATTGTGCCAAGTTCCAATTAAATCCAACAAAAATAGCTAGCTCTCATTGATACGAACACCGTGCAACAAACTGTATGTCCCGTTGCCACCCGTGGACCTATTTGCGTAATATTAAATACGATAAATTTCTTTTTCATTCCGTCAGTCACTCTCTCGGTTGTCTATCTATCCCTTATTCTCCCCCTTCTCGCTTTTAAGGATAAAAAAAACAGAGACTCACTATCGGGATTTAGAGCTGCAAAACCTTAACTAGCACCGCATCACTCATATAGTCTGGTCACATGAGCTCGTGAGCAATGCATGCGTAGTTGCGTGGCTTGTTGCCTTTCGCCCTTTTTAAACTGACAACGGTTGTATACAATACAATAGTCACCCATTTAAGGCGAGTTTTAATTTTCCTATGATTAATAATTTTTTTTATTATACTAGCATTTATAACGGTCTTTATAACTTGTTTGATTTAAGGTAGGTGTCCTAAGCCTAATTAAATCGAACAAAATGACTAAAATAACTATAAATAAATAACTAGAGAGAGAGCGAGAGAAGAGAATTTGAGGAAATAAACGAGCTAGCTGCTTCGAACCGAGAAAAGGATCGGATATTTACTTACAAGCACGTAATAAAGAATTGCTGAAGGGGTCATACTCCATGAAAGATCCAGTGGTGTCATCCCGTCTTTATTTGTCACGTCCAAGCGTACCCGTGGATTCCGAAGTAAACAGTTGAAGACGGCAAGGTTCCCATAACGGACAGCGCCGTGCAGCGCAGTGTCCCCGTTGTTGTCCTGCGCATTCAGAATCATCGATGAAAATCGCTGTGGCATTTTTCCACAGACATATCGAACCACATCGTGGCATCCCTCCTCGGCGGCGACATGGAGGAACGTCCGTCCTTTGCCATCTCGCAGGGTGGCGCAGTCCGGACACCTCCCCAGCAGGATCACGATAACGATGCTGTTAGACCATGCAGCGACGTGTATGGGGTAGGATCCTTCGTCGTCCGCCTGATATGCCATGGATATGTTAGCATCCAGTAGCAGTGTAGCCACTGATTCCGCCGTCGGCCAAACTTGGGGAAACCGTGTGCAAAGAAACCCCGCGCCTGGCCACCCGGACAAGGACGCGGCCAAGTGAAGAGGGTGCTTCCTTCTGCTTCTTGTCCCTTTCGCTAGTCAGTCGCGACACAAGAGACACAGTACTACTGTCTTCTTTAGGCTTCATGTCCTTGATGAGCCATTCCAAAATCATAGGCAGCGCTGCAGCCAAGAGAGAGGAAGATTAAACCGCATGTATTTACGAGTAGCAACTAACCTGCTAGCTTAGTTTAATTAGCTTTACCTTGGCCACGATGAACCGCTGCATGCAAGACGTTACGGCCATGTGGTCCGGAATAGGACAGCTTGCCGCCTTTAGTCTTGCTATACAGGTGCCGCGCAATCTCGACTTCACCCAGTGAGATAGCCAAGTACAACGGGGAAGCACCAGCATCTTCCTCCTGATGTGGGAATGGGATGCAGGCCAGCTCCGAATCCACGTCCATCAGCTGGTCGATGCAGGCCACCTTAAGCTTGTTGTCGGCAGCGGCGCGGATGGCCTGGTGCAACGCGGTCTCTCCACACTCGTTCTGCATCCTCAGGAACGCCTTCTTCACCGGTGCCCCGCCTCGTCGTCGGTGGTGTCGTTGGCGATGAGATCAACGAGGCAAGAGATCATGCTGGCAATCCCAGCACCGGCGGCGCAGTGCAGGGGCGTGTCGCCCTTGCGGTTGCGCGCTTCCAGGGCTAGGCGCGCTGCATCTGCACCGCCCTTGCGCTTCTTGTTGCGGACCAGTATCTTGGCGCAGTCGAGGTACTCCTGCGTGTCGCCGCATGCCGCAACCACGTGCAGCAGGGAGTCCCCTTCCATGGTCACACCATCCTCATCAAGGACTACCGGGACTGGCGGCGGTGACGACGATCCAGAGGAGGGTAGTGGTGCAACAGCATCATGAGGAGGAGGTCGAGGATCGACTTCCACTACCACGTCTTGTGCTCCCGCCGCCACGGACGAGCTTTGCTGCTCGTCGTCGTCCTTGATCAGCGGCAGCAGATCCTTGAGCTGTTTGCTGTCGCCGCGGCGAGCAGCCATCAACAGCTGCGCATCAAGCGTGGCCGCCGGCGGGCGGGCAGTTGCGGGGCCGGGTGGTGTTGGCTCACCGGCACCAGCAGCAGCCTGCTGCTCGCTTTCGTTAAAGGCTGCCATGGAGGACATCGATCGATCGATCGCTGTGTGCCTGTGTGTGAATCAACTATGGGCCGGATATATGTGTTGGTACGGTGATTCACTTGGGTTGACCCTTGACCGTTTACCGGAGTCTGTGCTGTTACACCGGCGGTGACCTGTACCATCAACAGCTAGCTCCGTCGTGTAAGCTACGACTGACAGCACAGAGATTTCCGGCTGCCTGCAGCATCGAACCAAACCTGTCGTTGTTTTAGTTTAGGGCTGGTTTAGTTCGCGAAATTTGGATTTTGGGGCTACTGTAGCACCTTCGTTTTTATTTGACAAATAGTGTCCAAACATTGACTAATTAGGCTTAAAACGTTCGTCTCGCAATTTCCCACCAAACTGTGCAATTAGTTTTTCTTTTCGTCTACATTTAATGCTCCATGCACGGGCCGCAAACATTCGATGTGACAGGTACTGTAGCAACTTTTTGGATTTTGGGGGTGAACTAAACAAGGGCTTACTTCTTCGCTTCCGTTCTAGCTTGCGTCGTCGTCGGCTTGCTGACAACTCATCATCAACTGAACCATCTGCGAATTGTACGTCTGTTTGACTGATGCGGACGTTGTTTGTGTGACTTCGTTTACTTTGACGCACTGCCGCGCGCCTGCCGTCACCGTCCTGAAAAAAAAAATAGTTTTTCCTTAACTGATTTAAGTCTCATTTATTTACTTAATGTTAGATCTTAAATCATATATATATACAGAAATAGGGATACTTGCTAGAAAACACGATCCCCAGTTCAATTGTTCATTCCTTAGCTTACTTGAACACTGCGATTGTTTAATCTTAACTGAATCTACAAGTATCTTGCAAATTGTTTTTTCCCTACATATCATAACCGACATGATTTTCCCAACGTCACCGACCAGATGCTACAATTGATGGATAATGTGAACATATAAAAAACAGTTAGCAGGATGGGGTTTAAATGTTTGCTTCTTCACTACCACAATCCCGAATTACCTTGAGTGCCAAAAGCCACCAAGAAAAGGGCCTCAACCGCCAAGGAAATGATCTTTGGCCACAAACCGTCAAGCAAACTCACTCAAGGATAGAAGACAATGGAAATTAGTTTCCTTGGCGATTTTGGCACTCAAGGATGATTTCCTTGGAGGCTGGCTGCCAAGAAAACTAGCACTCTGCTTAATTCGCCAAAATGAAAAGAAAATGTTACAACCACCAAGTAAATTAGTTTTCTTGAGGGTCGACAACCTCCAAAGAAACACTCTAGACCTCCAAGATAATTGTTGTTTCCTTTGTTGCCCTTCACCTACAAGGAAATTATAGTTTTCCTTGATCGTCGTTAACCGCCAAGGTAATTCCGATTTCCTTGAGGGTCAGCCCCCAAGGAAATCTATACTAGCAATAAAAAAATAAATGTTGTAATCAATATATGCTAATATTTCAGTCACTATACTCAATTGACACATGATGACATGCATATAGACATTTTGTTATGGAGCCCAACCATTATATTGGCATTAACATACCCATAAGAATATTACAAGTGCATTTATCATTCATCCTTACATGAAGTCCATACATCATAACAGACAAGTCATTAATAGTTTCCAAAGTTTATGTCAACTCTCAAGGAATACATATTTCCTTGGAGATCTATGTAAACCGCCAAGAAAACTACCCTTTCCTTGGCGGTTTCATTTTGGCACTCAAGGAAATTCTCAGCCCTCAAGGCAATTCCAGATTCAGTAGTGCTTGCATCCGAAGAACATAATGCTTTATCCTCGCCAAGCCAAGCATGAGATTGCTGCCCCGGATGATCATCTCTCCACCACATTACCGAGCATATTTGGTGCTTTCTCTTCCCCCTTTCCTCATACATGTGCCACTTAACAGAGCTCGCCTCACGGCTTGTGGAACAGAGCTCGAACCATGGGTTCAAAATGTCTAGGCGCTAAATTCAGGGACTAGGTTCCTGAAATGTTGGGCCCAAGGAACATAGACGTGGAACATGGGATGTCACTTAAACCATGGTACAAAGGGGTATGTGAGCCAAAAGTTTTTTAGCTCGGTATACATGTATAATGAGAACTTGTTCTATTGCAGATCTATATTTTCATCAATTATCATACAACATTTACATAAACATAGAATCGCATATAATCTAAATGCATGATGAGAAAGAGACAAATATGTGCTATGAGCATCCTAGATTCTCGGTTTGGTTCCTTTACTCGTACGTCACGTTCCCACTATGTTTGTAGCGATGTCCCTTTACTACGAACAATGCTGGTTGATGAAGTCCCACTACCCAGATCTAGACATCACTATCGATTCAAAAACCCCCTTCACTGCCGGATTTTGAACCGACAGTGGCATACCGGCAGTGATGGGGGGTTGACATCACTGTCGGTTCTTAAAAACCGACACTGATCTACAGGAAACAATGTCGGTTTCTGACTCCACACGACAGTGTCTAGTTGAACAACACTGCCGGTTTGTAGTCCCAACCGACAGTGATGGTTGCTTCAAGAGTGTCGGTTCTTGGCTCAAGCCAACAGTGTTGAGCAAGCCTACACTATCGGTTCATGGTTCAAGCCGGCAATGTTGAGCTAGCCAACACACTGTCGGTTGATGGCTCAAGCCGGCAGTGTTGAGCAAGACAACACTGTCGGTTCATGGCTCAAGCCAGCAGTGTTTTGCAAGACAACACTGTCGGTTTGTTGATAACCGGCAGTGTTTTGCAAGACAACACTATCGGTTCGTTGCTAACCGGCAGTGATGGCCCATTTGTATTTTATTGTTTTATAATTGATTTTAATTTATATTTTTTTGTGGAATCGGGTTTCGCTTTATATACGCTACGTAGACGTCAGGTCCATCGATATTAAACATTATAAATGTTACGGTTACAGTTCAAATGCTCTTATCCAGATCACAATCCCTCAAAATAAAAAAGAAATGTTCTCAGACTTCACAGATTATGCAATGCTTCTCGGACTTCTTACAATAATCTGGCGAGCCGCTCTGGGCCATACTGGTCCTTGTACCTCACGGTTTGTGCAATGAAAAATACTCCATCTTTTCTAATACCTCGGCTAAGATGAATTTTGCGAGCTCCGATTGCAGTACGATGATCTCCATGTCTAACAGCCTTTGGTGGTTATATTTCTTGCGCTGTCGTTCAAAAAAAGATGATATCCAAAGAGGAACAGTAAATCATTTTGTTGAATTATTAACAGACATAAATGAAATGGGGATTATACACACCAACTTATTGGTTTCTTCCGATTTCTTGCCGGCTGTGACAGGTACTTTCCCTCCGTTTCGACAACCTTGAATGGAACCGGCGTCCCACCGATATGTCTTCTTCGAACACTGAGCAACATTAAAGGGAGAAACATTAGAAAGCGGTATGTGTGATTAGAAAATAATATGTTATTAGGATCGCTTACAAATTCAGCACTGCCACCCGTGCATCCAGATGATAAAATGTTTTTTTCTTCGAGTCCCACACCTCGATTAGATTTTTGGCAAGATTGACACAAATGAAGACGAAATGGTTGCTACAATCACAGAATCCTAATTATCGAATAATCTTAACGAAAAAAGCATAAAATTAAAAGCCAAGAACACATATTCACAGTTGTAGGCTAGAAGTACGTGGGTTTTGTTCTTCATCGTGAATTCGTCGAAAACAGCAATCAATCTCTGTTTCAAGTCTTCCACGTCACATCCATAGAGGCCTAGACATGTCCTCTCATTGACTCGCAAGGGGTCCAAGAAGCCTATGTAATCTCATTTGTTTTTTAGAATATAAAATTTTGCTATACACCTACATAAAATGATGTAAAGGGCTCAAAAGTTAACAATTTGTCTCAAGAGAGTAGTTAACTGTAATATCGTGCGTGTAGGGTACTTACATAGTCCACATCGTCAACATTGAAACATCGAGAGAGCGTTTCTAGTATAGCTGGAACAAGCACTTCCACTCGACATTGAACTTCTCTTCTTCAGGATAATGGAAAGCATGTGGCGAACGGATAATAACCTCAAAACCAAAGTCGTCCGTCTCTGTTGCTTGAGCCATGTAATATTCATGCAATTGGCGCATATATGTTGTTAAATTTTTATACTCGTCATGGGGAACCAAAAGATTGCCCCTTTCATACTACATTGCCGGTGTTCTCGTCCCTTGTACATCATAATAGATATTCGCGGCCTCTTCCATGGTTAATCCTGGGTTGTCTTCGACGTACTTCTGTATGTTTCTTAAATCTTTATTGTGTATTTCTTCGTCTCTTGTTATAGCGTATTTATTCTGTGTTTACCTTTCAAATTTGGACTTCAACAAATACGGAAGGCGGTGAGGCATGAGATTGAAGAAACTAACACAATCTTCCTTCGAGATATGTGCTGTAAATTTTTCTTTCATCAAGGTGGTAACGCTACCACTGAACGTCCTTTTTCTTTTCTGTTGGTCCACTTTGGGAGCATTAGCGACCGAATCCAAGGACTTTTTCTGCGACTACGAGGATGTCCTTGATCTTGTTTTGGGCTGAGGTGGAGGAGGAGGAGGAGGATGACGATGAGAATTCTATTTTCTCGGCGCTGATGAAGATGGAGGAGGAGGGGGAGGAGGAGGAGTCTCTTTTCTCGGGGCTGATGAAGATGGAGTCGGATGAGGAGGAATAGAAGGAGACCTCTATCTTCTCGGGGGTGATGGCTCCGGATGAGGAGGGGAGTGATCTCTGTTGGGAGATGGTGAGTGATCATCGCGGGTGGGCGAAGACTCGCAATCATCCTCATCATCAGAGGACAATTGATGGTCAAGCTTAATGAAGTGCTTGCACCAGGCCACTTGAGAGCCCTTGTTTTGACCAAGTTTCGGTCTGTCTTCCGCTACGGGGTACTCAATGGGTATCTTGTTAAACTTCTTATCAAGTATTCTATCAATGGTGACGCGAAGCGTACCCTATGGAATTGGGCGGCCATTAATTGTCCC